CTTCAATATAGAACATAATTTTTGTCTATGTTTTTTCTTAATTTTCAATCCAGAGAAGCTTTAGAATCTATATATATGCAATAAATATATGCATCAATTTATCGACATAGTGATACTATTTTTGAATATGTACTATAAAAAAATATCTAATTTTCAAGGTGATGATTTATGTGTTTTTATGTGCAATTGATCAAGTGATTAAAAGAATAACTTGCTATTTATAGAATAGTAATAATCATTTTTATGTTATTTCTAATCTTGTTTTATTTACTGTAAACTAGAAAATGATGATGTAGATTTTTAACGTTAAGCAATTATATGGTGTAACAATCAGCGAAACAAAGAAATTTTTTGTTAATGACACAAAAGAGCATTTCTATATATCAAGCAAATAAATTTAAATGTTTATTTTTAATGAATAATGTTTAATCTTCAAAAATCTGCGAAACTAAATAATAATGCATTGTAGTTTGATGATCCTCTTATTATTTAATCTTATTAGAATGCCAATAAAATAGAAAAATGCAATGCAAATGATGTGATGACAAAGAAAATTGATTTTCAAGTTCATTAACTTTTTCTTAGAACAAACAGTGCAGAATTTTATGTTTATTTCACTTATCTTGTTAATGCAGTAGTATGTTTCGTGTCATTTCATTTTAGATAATCATTAGCAGTGTATTGAGTGAAGTTGAAAACACTTGAAGTGTTTTTTTGTTATTTTTCTACACGAATTCTAAGTATATCATCGAGAAAATAGTATTGACTACTGAAGTTGATAGTGGATTTGAATAAAACCCTATATTGGTTTGTTGATGTCCGTCAATATTATACGAAAATATACAATGACAAATTGATTCAATCTGAGTATTTCGTATAACAGTAATTTCACGTAGAAAGAAAAACGGACAAATAAATATAAAACTACTATATATAGTCTGTCGACAATTAATTGAATTTCGCTATGTTTCGTTTGGAAGTTCGAGAAAGCATGGAAACAATTTTTGATTAGGAAATATAATATTATAAACCGTAGCTAAACATTTGCGAAACATTATTATAAGGTGCAATAAGTGCAAAACTAAAGCAATTTTTTATATGTGATTACACAGAGCGTGACGAATTGGTTACGAATATATATGTTTTCATTTTTTTTTGGAGTAACTGTTTAGGGAAACAGTTACTCCAAAAAAAAAAGAAATCACATATATTCTTGATCAATGCATCATGCTATATCGAACCATATGAAAAAAAGAAGAAAAATTCTGTTGAATTCACGATTAGAATAATAATAATAATAACAATAGTCTCAAGAAAACGAAACGAATAGACAAGAAAAGAAATAACAAATGAATAACTTCAAAACAAACAAATAGTTGAGCGTAAGCAAAAAATAAAAACAGAATAAATGTTTTTCAAAATGCACATACGAATATGACACTTGAATTTGATAAACTGAATTTTAGATGTTTATATACGAATAAATTATATCACTATTCTACTACTTTTATAAAAATCGTCAAAAACCAAAAAAAAGCTCTATACCTTAATGCATTATCGTAAATAATGTATGAATCAGAGATGGACGAGCCGCGGTGTAAAACCGCCCCGTCCCGTCCCGCCCCGCGGTGGGGCGGTGCTAAAACTTGACGGGGCGGGGCGGTGACGGTGCATGACGAAATTCCACGGTTTCCCCGCCTTTGTATAAGTTTGATTTCTTAAATATACTCAGATCTTTAGAGACATCTTTTAAAAATTTTTTCACACTAAACTAATCAGTAAAAACCTTGTTAGCGCAGCTCCAGAGGAGCTAAAACGTGGAACTGACATATATTTTTTTAATTTTTTGTCCTGATGCCTAATTTTAAATTGTAAAATACCTTTTTTCCGAATACGTATGAAATCATTGATATATTACATAAAAACTAGAGCCTTTTATGCGCTGTTGCTGAGGTCTGTCATGGTGGGGGTCAGGGTTGCCAGATCGAAAATTAAAAAATCAGAAAATTTTTTCTAAAAATCGGGAAAATGTCGGAATTTTTGTTCTCGAAATCGAAAGAAAATCAGAAAGTATTTTTCCATGCTTAAATAACTAGTCTATATATTTTCGATAGCTTCAATATCCTTTATCTTGCTTCTGTTCATCTTTTCGAAGCAATATTGGAAATGATATTTCATAAAGAATTAAAGAAAATATCGATTACACAGTTTACTCATGATTAAGAAAGCTACATAAGTAATTTGAACAGGATCACATTATTTTTATCAAAAATGCTATAACCAACTTGACGAAACAATAGAATCTGCATTGTAAATTCATACACACATACATTTCACAAAACTCGTGCAAAAGAAACTAAGACTTATTCTGTATAATGTTCGTTTTTGTTCATACTTTTTTATTAGCTCGAATCCTCTTCAAAATATCAGGTTGAGGTAACAGATATTCATAAAAATGTTCACAAATATAACAGAATTCATTCCGATTTTCAATTCTGCAACAGCTAAACTAGTACCCGTACGATTATGATTAGTTTTATTATATCTGTGATGAAACAAAAAAGCTCAAAAACGAAAATGTTCTTAATTATCAGGATAGTAAACGAACAGAGAAAGTTAGTTCATCGTGATAGAAAACTAGATCTTAATTGTCTGTAAAACATCATAGTTTTATTGGAGGATATGCTTTCAAATCACTGCAGTGTGGTTTGTTGAGTTCATGACGCTTCACTACCTGATAATTATGGTGAAATAGATCGCAATATATGTGTGATATCGCATCATGGTTAAATTATTCTGAAATGTCCTAAGAACTTGAATTCACAAACAAGACTTCGACAACCGGAGGAAAATTAGGCAATCGGAAAAAATCGGAACGTCGGAAAGTCGTTGGAGAAACTTTCAAAAAATCGGAATTTTTTCTGCCGTATCGGAAGATCTGGCAACCCTGGGTGGGGTGTCTGTAATGAAGTGAAAGAAGTGGGAGCGTCGCCAAATCTCGAACTTAACACTTACAATCACTATTTTCTTCGAAAATACACGTGAGTTCCACAAAATGAGTGGTTGTATTATAATTGCCTTTCATTTTCATGTTTATTTTTTTCTATTTCGGAACGATGTTTATGCATTTAAAATGTGCCTCGTCATCTCATGAAATGAAATAGCCATTATGAAAATTTAATGAAAAATTTGTCAAGAAATAGTTTTTGAAAACATATTTTGGACGGGACGGGACGGGGCGGTGACGGTACAACTTTTTTGCTGACTCGTCCATCTCTGGTATGAATCTTATCCTACGCATTTGTTATTCGTATTATTTTTTTCTACATCTTTGTCGGTTCAGTAATGAATAGTGTGCAGCATATTAGGCATTTTTTTTATTTTTCTTTTTTCTTACAAAATATCATACGTTTCAATACTTAACATACAGATCGCAGGTTTCTAATTAATACAAAAAGTAAAAAATCGTTACAAAAAAACTTATTTATAGCAGACAAAAACGAAACACCGATACATTCAATTTTATGTCATTGTTTACCTATCGATTACAATTAATAATTATTCTTGAATAAATTGAATATCAACACCAAATTCAATTAATTTTTGACGCAATAAGTTTCCATAACCTCGTTGAATTTGTTCATATTTATGTATAATAATTTCATCATTTTTATTCCATTGATTTGTATTGACATGATAAAGGGTGTGGGTGTGTGGTGTGGGTGTGTGGGTGTGGGTGTGGGTGTGATTAAAGAGATCCCACATCCACACCCACAACCACACCCCACACCCACACCCACAGACACCCACACCCCACACCCCGACACCCCACACCCACACCCTACTTTGAAAGAAAATCCGATCGATTTTAGTTTATATTTTTTATCAAAAATAAAAGTCCTACATCAATTTATTTGTTATTTAGACTATTGGATGCTAATTCATAAATATTTTTCTAACCAGTTCCTTAAATTTAGTAGTCTAAATATTTCAAATAACTGAAATTTAGAAAAAATAAGGAAGTTTCAAAAGAAATATTTGTATAATAATTGTTTAAAACACCTTATTGAACTGGAGCAGTTTTTTATAGTTTGATGATGCGTCGGTATAATGTGTTGAATATTCTGAAGGCTAATTAATTTTCGCTCCTTTTTTTCTTCCTATATCTAAATGTTCTTTCATAATTAAATTTGATGATGTCGATTTTCATTTGATTACGTTGTATATTAACAGCTTAATACTGTCATATAAATTGAACAACAACCAAGAATATTGGACCAGCTGTCTATGGCAATGGAATCCGCCTGATGCACATGATATTTCGACCAGTGTTGAAAATATTTCCAGTGATTCATTGGCACTATTGCTGGAGTTTTTAAATAATTATAATTAATCAATGATACTGATCAAATTGGTGTAATCTTATCATTATTTGCATGCTTTGGTCATCTTTCTGGTGATTCACTTGTTAGAAAAACAAACCACGTCAGCAATCGAAATATTATTTTTTTCTATTAATTAGACTATTATCTATGCTTATGAAAATAAATAATATGCATAAAAACTTTTTTTATAGGAAGTGGAAAATCAAAAGTTATTGCTCCAATTAAAAATGCGACTGTCAGCACGGTTAAATCTTTGGGTATATCAAAAGAAGAAGCAGGAATAGTCGACGATTTTACTACTGCATTGTTATCTACTAAATTAACGAAATCTAATGTATTCATCGTTACGGATGAAGCAGAAAAATCAGTCTTGGAAATGAGATTTTACTTCCCGTTATTGGAAGCCAGCGTTGAAAATCCTATTTTTAGCTGTAAGTTTTACTTTAGCATACCTACAATCAAAGATACAACGAAATATCACTTGGAAATTAAATCTCATCTGTCATACTTTGGTACAACATCAGACCGTCTGTGGTATCGTTTAATCGACTTTAATGCTCAAAGACATCATCATAGTGGTTTTTCAGAACGACTATTCAATTATTTCTGTTATTTGTTTTCGTGGCTTTTATTCTCTGTCTATCTAAAATTTCTTTTAACTTTTAAGCCAGTCACAAGAAAATATTCTGAATTGATCATATTAAATAATATTCAAATTGAACTATGCAATAAATACAAGTATTTTGTAATGCTAGCTTTTTAACAAAAAATGTAAAGCTCGAAAGTTTTTATGGACGCGATTGCAAAATAATGGACGATAACCAGATCAATAACTCATTTAAGATTATGCTGATCGATTTTAAATGCTTTGCAGATCTACCTGAGTGTACATATATATTGAAGTTCGTTTGCAAACGTATTGGATTTAATAAAAAGAAATCGTTCTCAGGTGATGATCTAACATGATGTTTTGTAACTTATGGATAGAAGTTTATCAAAGAAAAAAGATCGATCAACATAACACGTAATGAAATAATAGAACAGTAATTAAAATATTATTTACCGCACAAATTATATCAAGTCTTAAAGATCAGCTTTTAATTAGGAATCTATTTTGTTATATAGCTTGGACGAAAAAACACTTATTGATTATAATGAAAATTTCGAGAAGATCAACAAATTTAAAAAAAAACATTTTTATGAACTTAATAGACAATTAAAGCTTCAGTCCAATCTTGTCTTGTGGCAGAAACAAATTAAGCTAAGCGTAAAATAAATATTTCTACGACTGTGACCATAACTTGAGAAATAGAAACTGAGGAATAAATTCATGCAAAATGCTTATCATTAATCTAACTTTGCCGTATATGTAAAACTGAAACTTGAAGTCAATTGAGTTTTCGAATTTCAAGTTTCAGCTTTGAATTTCAAAACTTCAAGATGAATCCAATAGCATGATGATGATGCGTGGAAAAGAGTATCATCATGTTTCTCTGAATGTGATTGAAGGGAAAGAACTCACGCCACGTCTCTCCCGACACTAGTGTGGTCTACCTGTATGCATAACTTGAAACTTGAAAACTTGATTGAATTCAGGTTTCAAATTTTACCCTAATGTACGGATCCACACATTTTATGAATATGAGTCTACTTGGTTCTTGCATGACGTTCCTGATCTCAAGTGAGTATCGCTTGTGAATAATATCAGTTATACTTGAAATAGACAATTCTTCTTGATTCATCATTATTTATTTGATAGAAAGAGAAACAACAAGGATTGCAGAGAATCTATAGCTATAGGATAATGTAGCGTTGAACTCGATGATTATCCTGATCAACAACATAGATACTTCCATGACGATCGAGCGTCAAAACAATTGGACGTTTGAACTGATTTGCTCCTTCTCCTTCGCCGTTTCCACCGACAATCATGGTGCCTTGTATCACTCCTTGAGGCCAACGTATTACTCGATGATTCTTCGAGTCTACCACATAGATGGTACCGCACATATCGACTATTAATCCTTGAAGCTGCGGCAATTGTGTCAGAGCACTTCCTTGGCCTTGACCCCCAGCGACGATAATCCCTTCTTTTGCACCTCTATTCCATTTCATTACACGATGATTATAACTGTCCGACACGTATATAGCTTGTTGTCGATCGAAAAAAATGCTGGTCAGAATTTTAAATTGATTGAGACCAGCACCTTCGCCATTTCCACCAGCAACGAGAATTTTATTCTTGTCTCCCATCCAATAGCGTCTTACATCATGTTTTTTAACGTGAGAGATATAAAGATATCCCTGATCATCCATGGCAAGTTCGCAACAGTCGATGTTGTCGAGAAGGATTTCTTCTTGAGTAGTACCACATCGACGAGACCATCGTACGACTCCTCGCTCGCAGATTATGAAACTTTCCGTCTCTTTGTCGATGAGCATGTCGGTTGGACCATTCAATTGATCCAATTGGCTTCCTTGGCCACGGCCACCAGCTACTATTTGTCCATTCGTATCATGCATTCTCCATTGGATGATACGGTGTTTCGAACTGTCAGCGATGACTATGGTTTCATCATCGTCAACAAAGAGACCACAAGGATTCCAAAGTTGATTAGTCCCATTGCCTTCCCCATGATCGCAAACAACGGTCACTCCATTCTGTGTCCATCGGGTACCGGGTGGAATTACTAAAGTCGCCACAGTGAACAAGAAGGAAAAAGAAGTATCATAATTGTTAAAGAGATTTTCGTCTTTCAGGAGTGCGTGACAAATAAAATATTCTTTCACAACGAATCTTCTTTCAACTTTCAAAAGTGCAATGGAGGGTATTTAAAATGTCCTCCTTAATGCACCATAAAAAAAGAATTCTTTTTATAAAATCTAAGAGGGTTCTTCTAGTGGATTTGAACTCTTAATCTTTTAAACATTTCTTTTGAAAAAAGATTTCGTTGAACGAATACTGAACCGAGTCGTATATCTTTACCACTTAGACTTATCTACTTGTAATGATACTTTTAGATTGACAAAATGAAAATTTCTGAAAAAAAATAACAGCTAACAATCAGAACAGTAAAAGTTCAAGACAAATAAAAAATACTCATTGTAATTTGTTGAGTCCATCAAATAGTTGTCATCAAAACAACGCCATTTCAAATCTAATTGGATCACAAAATGTAATTCAAGGTGTGGATATGGGGTTTAAGTGAATGTGTGCTTTACATAAATACTGACCCCACAAACAACACTCACATCCTTCTTTGTAGTCATAAATACATTCTGATGTTTCGTATATATTGTAAAATTTTGTTGAAAATATAAAAAAATTAATTATTGCAAAAACTTTTAGATACGTTCGTTTTCTATTGTACGGATACTTTCAGAAATGGAATCAGTAACGGTGATGACTTAATGGTTCCTGTTTTCGATCGGCAGCTGTACCATTCTAAACTGGTAAACTACTGTTTTACTGGTAGAGTGGTATACTGGTATACTAACAGGGCCAGCCCTTGTCCGTCGAACTGTATTATTACAAATTTTTTGTAAAGGTAAAATGTTTCTAATTTGATCTGCATACACTATTATCAAGATAATGATATACTATAGTTCCTTTTGAATAGGCGGATGTAGCTATGCGTTGGTATATATACATGAAGGTAAAAAAGAACCTCACGATATGATAATCTCACACAACTTTGACGACGAATAGTTATAACCCGTAATGATAAACTTAGATCGGAATTCCTACATCAGACCGTTCTTTTTCCAACAAGGTGTGGGTGTGGGTGTGGGTGTCCTTTTCATATCCACCCACACCCACACCCACACCCACACCCACACCCACACCCACACCCAAACACCCACACCCACACCCAAACACCCACACCCCACTCACACCCACACCCCAAATTGACGAAATTAAAGAAATCAAGCAAACTCCGTAAATACTATGGTCCTGTGGAACACGCAAAAATCTTGAAAGATCCCGTTTATCCCATCCCGTGGGTTTGGGTGCAGAGTAGCGCATAATAGCACACCCACAGCCTCAGCCACATCCACACTGACATTCAAACTCACACTCACGCCTCTACACCACACCCAAATCTGCTACCCACATCCACATCCACATTCACACATCGTACCCACACACCACACCTACACCCACACCCACACCCAAGTTTTCATATGGTTCAATAGCGCTTTTCTAATGCTACAAAATGGCATTAAAACATTGAAGTAAAAACATTGACCTCTCAAATAAATCGGAAGGACACTATTCTCGAATGATAACTTTATGCCTTTTCAAATTATATTTGACCGATTTTCGTCAGAAGAATTTGAATTTTGACCAAACGAATGACATATGTCAAAGTAGTGCAAAAAATTGAGTCGATCCACGTATGTTTTGAAAGCCTCCGGCAACTTTTATTTTCATTGAAAAATTTACCCTACTCCCCTCACGATTAGGTGAAACAATAAAATTCATCAAACCTTGTTTTTATTGTTTAGTCATCTATTTTAACTGTTACTATCAGTTTATAACCTGAATAATCAATTTATAATGTCGAAATCACTTTTTGATGGAATTTAGCTTTTGAATCACTCCCGAGGGGGCACCAAGGATGAATTTTTCAATGAAAAAAAAATGATTGCGAATAATATTTGAAATACACATAAGTCCATTTATTTTGAGATGTTAATTCAGAATATCATATTAGTTTTCATCCAAAGCGCAATTTTCATGTCGAAGTCTACTGAACACCAGTAAGAAACACTCAGAATGTTGTCTCGAGAATAATATCCTTAAAATTTCTTTGTATGACGAGAGATTTTTCTCGTTGTTTCTATACCACTTTAAAGCTCTATTGAACCATATCAAAACTAGCCTGACCGTTCATGAGGTGAGCAGATAAAAAGTGCTGATTATCATCAACGGTCCGGCTTAATGTACATGTGACGGGCATTAATTATTTTAATTGACCTTTACACAGTGCAAAACAAATGCTATATGACTAATTCGACCAGAGATCACTTTCAGGCACCTTGTACTATAGTTTAACATAGAAGAAATCAAGTTTCTCAAGGACGCCAATTTTATCAGTTATTGATCACCTTCCTTTATTTTCTTTTTCGAATTCGAAGCAAAGAATATTAAAAAAATTTTATAAAACTTTTATTTGAAATCTTCAATTTTCGGTGAAGGTTCAGCAAATAATTTCATCATATCAAGTCGAGTATGAACTCGATTAAAAGCTTCAATTGGTCCTTGTGGATCATCAGGTGCACTATATGCAAGATAAGCTGCATTTTCATCATAATCAATAATTAAATTTAATGTATTGCCTGTTTTTAATAAACTAGTTATATTTCGAATGATACTTGTTGCATCAAGATGACCATAATGATCAATTAATAAACTAGCAAAACATGGATGATTTGATGGTTGTGGATGTGGATCCCAATAGATAACATCTTCTAATATTGGATGATTTGATGTATTATACATATCTTTCCATGAATAAACATTAAATTCTTTTGCACTATATTCAATACCAAGAAATCCAACATTACTAATTGACGCATTTCGATGAAATTCTCCAAGACCAAGATGAACTGAACAAGTTCGTTTTATATTAATAAGCATAGTTAAAGCAGTATCAAGTGAATTTGAAAATTGAATTACATCTCGAAGAACATATGTCCATGGATTACCAAAACGTGACGTTATATCTTGTTCGGTTGTAATCCAAACTTTTTGTCCTAACCCAATTGAAACTCCACTATATGCGCCAATTGATCCAATAAGACCAGGATAACCAAAATTAGCAAAAACATGTGATGTTGTATATTTTTGTTTATAATAATCATGAAAATGATTAGCATAACCTTCATAAGATGCATTTGGATGATAGATAGTTACTGTTGCATATTTAGCTATTGGTGCTTTTTCATCCCAATCTAATGAACGAAGATGAAGTAATGTTGATGATATGGTAGATTCACCCCATGCACCTAATACACTGCATGCAGCTTTGGTTAATTCTGGAATTAGATTAAGTCGACGAATATCTTCATATGATATACCACTACCAGCAGCAAGACCTTGAAGTTCTTCATTATACCAAGGTGGTGTATATTTACGAGTAATATCATAATTAAGATCAAGAGCACCACGTAAACCAAATTCTACAATCCATTTTGCAATAAACTATTCAAACAAAAAATATTCATATTATTGAAATAAAAAAATAATCATATTCATCTTTACTGGTGGTAATTGCTTAATCAAATCTTCTATCATATTTTCTAAATAAGTAAAATATTCTGGAACAATTTGTTTAAGATCTTCACTCATTAATTGGCCAAATGCATATCCCATATCATATGGTGTACCACCATAAACATGAACAATATTTATTTTATCATAACCTTGTCCAACAATAAAACGTTTTCCATTAGGTACAGAATTAACAAAACGTGGTTCTTCACGTAAGATTTCATTTGTATTTAATTTACCTTTACAACTAGGATCTACTAAAGTAACTGGACAAATTACTGTGAAAAAACAGAACCATACTATATCTTTATTTCTCATTGTTATTATTATGATCATTTGTAAATCGAACAAAAAATAAAGAACAAATATTTTAACAGATGGTTTATTCTCAAGTTTATATCTTTGTCAATACTATTCTTTGTATTCAATTTTCTAAATAAATGATTACAAGAAAAATACAACTAATCATTATTGAAACTCTTAATGCAGTTGTTGAAAGGTGATTCCAGTTCAGATTATAGATAAAAGTCTTATTTAGATCCACATCTCGTATTCAAGAGATTCGATAAGTATACAGATAAAACTTGATCTAGGAAACTATTAACATAGAAAAATATCTAGAAGGTTGGTTTTTTTATTCATCAGAAAATATCTCTCAACATTTGTTATGAAATTAATTTTATATGGAGATTGTCAAATTCTCAACGCTATTAAAGATTCCTATCTCACAAAAGACCAAGTAAACGGATTTTTCAATAGAATATAAGATGAAAGAAATTCTGCAATATCGGTTTTCAAATATTGAAGATAATAATGAAATTTGAGAAAAAATTAATTATTCAGTTTAATTTATTGAATGAGTAACTTCTTTTATGGGATCAAGATATTTGCACATACGACTATAGTTGGGTAAAGATTGTCACTAGGTGATATAAATGGTGGCAAGGGATTGCATGATTAAAAGACGGACATCTTGAACAGAATATGTCTACAGTACTATATTACTCAAAAGAAGAAGAACGTCAAATGCTAGACTTTCAAGAATATATTCATTTGATTATTCCAATTGCATACATTCGAAAAAAAAATCAGTCGTATTTATACTCTTGCAATTTTTCACTGACAATTAATCATATAAAATCAAACACTGTAATTCAATGCTTTTTTGTTCGACATCCGATGATAGTTCTTGTTCATTTATAAAAGCCGAGTGAAAAGCGAACTGAGCTACATTCGGTTCACTGTCGAACGTTTTGAACATAAACATTTGATCAGAGCGCATATGGCTTTTGAGATATAGTACATGCTGTAGGTGTATTCACAGAATCTCCAGTCATGAGCGGATGAATATTTTTTTTTGAGATCAATCGAAAGAAAGTCGCAAAATGCTAATGGCCTATCGGTTATTCGATGTGGACCCATTGGTAGTCAGACGTTGATCACTTGATATCGATGTTGCATAGCTCATGTCGCTTGCTCGTCACCAAGTATTTGCTACATTTTTTTTTCGGACTTCATCTGAGTTGAGGTGGACGTGAGGAAAAAATAGAGCATTCTTATGATCCACATCGCATTGTGCCACAGTACGAGGGATGCCTCGGTTGAAAAATGCATCATAATAGGAAATTACTTGCGAAACATGTAAATTTTCTTTTAGAAGAGTAGTGATCTGTTGATAATATGTTTGCTGAACATCGTTTCCTTCATCGAATTCTTTTTGTATGCAACCATCATATTTGAATACTTCAAACCCGTTGGTATCAAGTTTCATAGTATTTTCCTTGCCTCGTAAATCATCAATGATGACGGTAGCAGATACTTGTAGAAAATTAGTTGTTGACCAAGGTGTGTTCTTTGAAGGCAGAAGTCGAGGTAGACACTCATCGATAGTGTGAGTGAAATAACTTATTTTTGCAGTCATATCGCTCATCATGATAATTCAGTATCTAATTTGTTATTGAGTTTTACAAAGAATCTATTTATGCAGACAAAACAATTGTAAAATGCAAGAGTATACGAAAAGAAAACTTTCTTGATAAGAAAAACCAAAAATCAAAAACAGATAAACAAAAATTTGTTCTTTTGTATTCCTTTTTATGGAGCAAGTCATCTGGAATACTTGATTATTTCAGTACATGTGAAGTTTCTGATGTTGTCTTTCGTATTGTTTCGAACTAACACATGAAAGAATGCATGTATCAAACAAAAGATATCTTTATTTATCAAAGTCGATTTTCGATTACCAATTACCCGTGATATCATAATGGAAAAAGTCTCATCCCTTCGAGTCACAGTCATCGATCTGGAAAGATTCATAGTAGATATTCTTTCTTCTCGCTTTGAATAAAAATTAGAATGTAAATTCTTCAAAACATTTTTATATACATTCCAAATATGATTTTCTGCTTCTATTTGACTAATAGATTGAATTAAGAAATCCAATGAAATTAATATTTCGTTTTTATATCGAAATCTTTCACATTTTGAAAAAATATATTCGTTTGTGAATTTCACTTCAGAAATACTTCATAATCATCACGATCATCAATATTATACTGAAACATATAGTCGAAGAAGCAAAGCAATTCTGTACATAGAAAGCATCTAAGAGATAAAATCTGAGATGAACTATTTTAACCAATAGATTAATGCATATTTCGAAACAGATGTAAATCGAATAGACCTTTACCAAGCTAATCAACTATGCTTTTTTCGAGAGAAAAATATCGCGTGCTCATCGACTTCCTAGATATGCAATTGGATGAAACTTATAGCTTGAATATTTAAAATCTCAAAAATAAAACATGGATATTATTCAACTGTTGATGTACATGAAACATATTAACAATCAATGAATACAAAACCGAAATATTATTCGTGAATTTGAGTTCACAAAGACGTAAATTCTCAATTCCCTATTGTTTTAAATAACTGCAATCTACACCTAGTTTTAGTTTCTGTTTACAGAAAATTTTATTTGTATCAGCGATTCGATGAGTCATTATAGTAAATAGCAACATACATCGATCATATCTTGATTATAACGTGTACAGCCACATCCATGAGACAAAGTCATCATAGGCAAGTTCGAGCGAATGAACGAATCACAATAAATACTATGAATTAATGCCGTATGATAGAAAGACTAAAGAACACGAACAACAACGATGGATTTTATATTTTATCTATTATGGCAAATTTTAGTGAGCACGAGTCAATTTATCATTGTCAAATGTAGCATACTTCATAAAAATACGAATTCACGGGCAATATCTAACTAAATAGGTCGTACTATTTCCTACATCCATGATTATTAGAAAAATTTTTAAAATAAGAATCGATACTTTGAATCAATGGTTTCGTTTCTAATAGATAGTGACAACCATCATAAAATGCATAGATCAACATACTAAGCTTTCATTGAGAATATTTACGCTAAGAAAATTTCTATCGGGATACATGGGAAGAAATTCAACTACTGAATCAATCGTTGTATTTTTTCATCGCATCTCAAATGATTTGTAATATCTTGAATCAGTTTTTGCTATTCTTTATGACTTATTAAAAAAACCGATCTTAAAATAGTAAATAGATTAAAAAGAACTATCTTTAAAAAAAATTCAAAGAAATTACTTTCATCAAAAATAATCATCATAGAACGACGGCATTATATCGAAAACTAGAAATTAGTCGGCAGATCAATGACATCTATTCAAAGAATTCTCTATGAATCATCCGCATTTTATTAGACAATAGAAAATTTTCAAAGGGTAGACGAAGAAAATTCAATCGTCTACTATTGAATGCATTTTCTTATCGTTTCTGTGTACAAAAAAAAGAAAATAACTATATGATGTGTTAGTTCATTCAAGTGCATATATAGACTCGTCGGTGTTTATTCGTAGTCAATTTCATCGTTATTCACTTATCGTAAACATGCAAGTGCAAGAGAGCGACATAAATCAAAATTCGAATTGGATTAAAAAACGAAAATTGGACAATGTAGATTTCTTTTCATATTTATATTCAAAAAGAATCTATTCAAATAAGTGAGATAGATATACATATCTATTTAATATCATAAGAGAAGAAAAAAAATTAACGTTTTGTTTTTTTAAATTAAGGTGTCGTTTTGAAGATCTAGCCAATGAACTTTTTTATGAAATATTTGAATATCTTGATCTTTATGATATTTATCGAGGATTTTTCAATTTAAATCAACGATTTCAAAATTTAATTATCAATTCAAATTTTCCAAATCAAATCAACATTTCCACAATGTCAAAATCAAAATTTGAATATTATCATAAAAATATTCTTCTACCAAATAAACATCGAATTTATCTAATTCGTTTATCGATTCCATTTATGAGTGAACTTATTTTCTCGTCTGCATATACAATTTTGCGATTTATTCATCTTCAAACATTAATATTTGATCATATTGAAATGAAAGATTTTATTAAACTTTCTAATCATTTAGCACATTTACGTGAATTACATTCATTAATTATTTCTCTTGCTGATCATATACAATCATTAAATGTTCTATTTTCTTCGATTTTTCAATTAAAGAAATTAAAATATTGTAAAATTGAATATACAATTAAAGATAATCAAAATTCAATATCGTTTGATTTGACTCGTCGTATTTTTAGTCCTATTGAATATTTAATCATCAATGGTCAATTTTCATTTAATAGTCTTAATAATTTATTATCTTGTCTTCCTGAACTTCATCATATATCTATTCAATCTCTTATGAATTCGAATGATAATATAAAAATCGACGATCTATCTTATTATATTCAGTTACGATATTTAAAATATGTTTCATTTAAAATTAATTCGATCGATTTTAATAAATTTGAAAATATTATCAAACAATTTTTTGATTATGTTGAAATTTTACGTTTGACAATGAACAGTGATGAAGAATATTTAAATGCTAAACGATGGCAACAATTAATCGTATCACATATGCCATATTTACGTATATTTGATATGAAATATCAAGGTTCGATTGGAAATAAATATGATGTTATCAAACAATTCAGTTCATCGTTTTGGACTGAAAAAAAATGGTTTTTTACACATGAACATGATTGGAAATCAACAATGGATAGAGGAGTTTTCTATTCGACTATTCCATATCGGTAAGTAGAAATTCATCTATGATGAATATGTAATGAGATCACAATCGAATTTTGTTTCTTTTCAGTAGAAAAAGAAAAACTTTTATTATATAATTCTATTTGAATGATTAGAGATTTTCATTTTCTGTTGTGATGCGTTATTTATGAACGTACAATACGAGG